CTTTCCCTCTCTTTCATTCAAAAGATTTTTGACTTTTTTGATAAAATTAAAGATTGCAATCATGAGTATATCAAATTGTCATGTATATCGGTTAAAAGGGCGACACCTTCTCCGATTTTGAGACAATGACCGACCGATTGGTGGCCGAAATTCTCTATCACATTGAATCGTCGGGCCTGAATCCGACAAAAGTGAGCTTCATCGGGCATTCTCTTGGGACCATAATCATCCGTAGCGCTCTGACGCGGCCACAACTGCGCCCGCTTCTGTCTCGTCTGCATACCTTCCTCAGCTTGAGCGGACCTCATTTAGGCACTCTCTATAACACGAGCGGTTTGGTGAACGCGGGTAAGTCTATAATAATGAGAACATGCTCCAATGTAGCGCAGAGAAGAGATCTCGATCGTAATTCTTTTTTCAACTTGCCCAGGCATGTGGTTCATGCAGAAATGGAAAAAGTCCGGATCGCTGCTGCAATTGGCCATGAAGGATTCGCCGGACGTGAGACGTTCCTTTATGTTCCGTTTGAGCCAGAAGAGTAATCTGCAAAAATTCAAACACGTTTTGCTATGCGGTAGCGCTCAAGATCGATACGTGCCCCTGCATTCCGCTCGAATCGAACTCTGTAAGGCTGCCGTTCGAGATCCGACAGATCAAGGTATTATATTTAAATGTCTTATCTTAATTCTATGCGATTCATTTATTTGTCAGAATTAAACTTTGTGTCATACATGCTACAAATATAAAGTGAAGACGTATCTAAGATTTTAAGAGCTGTTTCATTGATCTTCTTCGATTGAAATAGCGAATATATCGACTAGAAATCAAATAATATTTTTTTAATCCAATTCTTTCAGGTGCCGCGTATCGTGAGATGGTGCACAACATCCTGTACCCCGTAATGTCGGCGCCTGGAGTTAGCCTCGTCAGGTATGACGTACATCACGCTTTACCGCCGACGGCGAACGCCCTGATCGGCCGCGCCGCGCATATCGCCGTCCTCGATTCTGAGCTCTTCATCGAGAAGTTTATGCTGGTGGCGGGGCTGAAATACTTCAGATAAGGAAAGGACTGTCTAGCGCACGAAGGAAAAAAAATTAATTAAACTGTAGTACGCTCGGACGCTCGGTACTCGCCCGTTCTTCGACGATCCCGTAATTAGCGTAACTTATAGGCAACCAGTCGAGCATTGCCTCGCTTCCTCCCTCTTCGTTTAAGCTGCTCTCTTCCGCGGAAACGATTAGGATCCCGAAGCGAGGCAATCGAATCTTTTTTACACGAAGCGCGACGCATCGATTTTAGTATGAATTGTGTTAGATTTTCGCGTGTCATCTCGATATCAGTCATAGATATTGTGGATAAACGGTCGAATTCAGATTCTTTCGCGATGCGAAGAGTTCATCGAGAGTTCGAAAAATCGAATGTATCCGTAGGTCGCCGTGAAACGGACCTATTCTTCAGTGTGGTAGTGATGATGATGATAATAGTAATAGTAATTAGCAGCGTCGCTCTTTGACCAAGAGAGAAGAGGAGATCAAGAAACACGTAGAAAAGACGCGAGCTAGCGGAAATCAAGTATATGCCTGGAAAAAATTTAATCCTGTCACTATCGAGTGATCGGATGTACTCCGATCTCGAAGATCAGAATGAGAATTGAGATTGGCGGCCTAGTAAAATGGAGTAAATCACGAGAGGAAACACGGTACGATCGTCGAGCACATCAGCTTCATCAACATCGTGGCGAGGAATGGATCGCGGAAGAAGGACGGAAATTATTCACACAATTGCACGGCGGTTGAATTCGAAGAACCGTACTTTAAAAAAAAAAGAGAAGAAAACTGAGAGGTTCTTTTCAACCAGCGTAAGTTCTATGATGTAGAGCTCCACGTGTTAAGGAGAAAATAATAATAATATAATGATAAAAATAATAATAAAAGTAAGACAATGCAACGACACATTGTCTAGTCGCATAGGAAAGTTACGAAACGTATGTCAATTGTTATCCTCAGATAAGTGTGAGTGCTGAATGCGATGAGTGCGGAGAACGGATGGATGAGAGCCGAGTACGATGCTGAAAGAGAGAGAGAGAGAGAAAAAAAATCTAAGGAGAAAATGATTAGGTGAAATAATAACGATATAAAGCGAGACAGCTGAGGATGAAGGAACGTCAAGACGAGCGCGAGGACGATTGTTTATCAGCTATTAACATCAACAAGAGGATTCGGGAGTCTCCTCTCGTCAACGACGAGTCTCTTGAGTGCAGTGAAACGAGAAAATGCGCCCTGAAATGCTGCAGACGAGTGTCCAGAGCGCGGACGTGATGATAATGCGACGGGAGTGACTAACGTTTCAGGTATATTAAATCCCTCCAATACTAGATCTCAATTGCTCAGAACAATCTATCGGTGAAAAACGCGAGAGAGGAAAAAGTGAGAAGAAAAATATATTAATCGCGTATATTAATCGAGCGGCGAGAAACGCGAAGCGTCGCGCTATAGCTGTTGAGATCGTCGTCGAGTAACACGAGCGAATTCGGCTTTTGTCGATCAGTTTAAAGTCTACAGAGTGTTTCAGGATCGCTGATCTTGAAATTTTTAACGATAAATTCTTTGACCAATTTGAAATGAATCTTTTCAACCGAAATGAAAAAAGACGTCAATAATTTTTTATTTACTAGTGATTGAATATAAAAATTCGGTTGGAGAATGTTCGTGATGAAATTCAATAACAACATTCTTTTGATTTTGTTTTTAAAAAATATTTTATTCTTTTAAGATTTTTATTATCTCCAGATATATTTAATATTTTATATTAAATTGCAGCGAGAGCGATGAAAATGGTTATTATTCTTGAAAAACCGGACTTTAAATTCGCCAAAGATTTTATCGTTAAACTTCAAGTGACAGTTTCTGATGCAATCTGTGTATCAAGCTACACGATCGTAGCAATTCAAACGACGCGAAAATGACGCCTCGTATTTTGACAGTCGCGAAAACATTTTTTTTTTTCGTGGAGAAATTAAAATTCCCAAAATCAAACTGGGAAGGGATATATGTTAGATGTTTGTATTGTGTATGTGAATGTGTGCGTTTAAAACTTTTAACACAATATGTCGACTGCATGTCCCTATTTGTGAGCGATATGTAAGACGATATAAATAAGTCCCATTAATCGCGAATGTACATATGTATATCCACGATAGATTACAATTGTTACAAATTGAGGGTTGAAGTACGGGGCGTCTATTTTATTGCGCGTATCAACAATTATGGAGTGGAAAGTCATGAGAGAGCTATAAGTCTTCAAAATTAAAAGAGATTTAAGACTTTTTGTAAACTGATTAAATTGACGTTATCATTTTCTTTATTTTCAAAAATATAGTTACAAATGTATATTTTGTACTCCTTTACTTTATAACATGTACGTAATTTACTTTGTAACATATGGTTTTAGTGAGATGAAACACATGTACGTGACAGATAGCTCTTCATAATCTTCCACTCCGCAATTCTCGCGCTACAAATCTCTATGTAAACACACACTGTCCCGAGCGCAAACGTGCGCGTAGAAAATAATGATTTTTACAGCGATTCCACTGTCGTAACGCATGCGTTAAAACGGATCACACGGATCATATGTCGGCTCTCAAGATATGTGAGTAATATCGTATCGTAAATCCGTATCATTCGTATCCGTATCACTCAATATAATCCATCTTTCACATGCGTAAAAAGTATGTATGTACGTCTACATATATATCGTCATAAAACGATCACCTATGACCACCGTTAACGTGTGTATATTGCGATCGTATATATAAATATTATTACAAATGCGAGCTTGATAATCGTGGGATGGTGAAAAACTATATGAGCGAGTGCAACTTTGCATCGGACTGAAAGCTGTTCGTAAAATGCATAGGAAGATGATCGCAAAACAATTTGGTCTAAATTTGTTTTATTATCTTTATATTGGTTCTCGAATATAATTTTAACAAAAATTTGAGATTTTATCTTGATACTTCAATTTTGGTCATAATTCTTTTCTAGTGCGATGCAAAAATTGTACTTGCTGATGCAAAATCTTATAGTATGTCGCCATCGTGAGTACTATTTTATCGAGCCCGCCGCCAATAATTGTCTTCAATAATTCCTCCGAATTCTAAGAGTCTATTTGATAGTCGTCTATAAGAAATCGGACTCGAAGCACAAAATCTGCGTATTGAAATATTTCTCTATCATTTTATTTGTGTCGCTGATTTTAATAGGATTATCGAGAAGTAGGCTGTTTATCTGATAAATATGTTAATTTTTTCAATAAGACGATTGTAGCGTTTAATATTTGTTAAGCATTGTCGAATCAGTTTCCGACACTAATCGATGACCTCTCTTCCCCTCCACCTTTTTTTCTCTTGGCCTGTTTTTTTTATATTTTATATGAAAAAAGCTATCATCCTTTATCATATAAGATTTATTTGATGTACGAAATCTAAAAATGAGATCAAATAACCGTGCAACATTAATCACAATTCAGAGTTGGAGCAGCTTTCGTCTACATCAAGTGGTCTCTGTCAGAAATTTATGACATTCGTGTGTCATCGATGAATGTCACGAATGCGCGTGTGAATGAAAAATTTATATTACAGCTACATATCTGTAATGAAATTTTTATTCCACAACGACACGTTTATCAGGTAAATAGCCATCGCCGCTTTTCTCTCAACTGCGACTAAATCTCGCCGTCGCGGATCAATCGCGAGAGCGAGTCCTGTTGTTCTCTTTGTCCGTTATCGGTGGAGATTGTCGCGAATCTTGCGCAGAGAGGATTGCAAACGACGCAGAAAGCGGAGAAAGGGGGATGGGTTCGGAGATACGCGAAAAGCTTTCCGATTTAATGCCCCTTCGCGAGAAATATCGATCAAAAAGGAATTTTCATTGCTGTCCTATTGTTTGCTCAACTCAATGTATTCGTCGTTTTGCATTCTAATCGACTCAACGACGCGCGTTTTCTCTCTCAAAGTCGTTAACTTTGTACTCTCGTCGTGTAAATTTAAGTTTTTAACTTACCACTTAAGGGACAATTTTCTAGGAGTTTATCGGATAAAGATCGGATATCGATCATTTTCCGCGTTCCGTTTCTGGATATACGTTTTAGAGAGATCTTCTCTTCGGATCGGACTATTTCGGGGACATGAAATCGCTGTTGCAAGTGTCGTGGATGTGTCCTTGTGTAATTTACGATTTGTGTATTCATTCCTTTTCTCCATCCCGTGGCGTCATCCTGGCTGGCACACATATGAGTATATATATATATAGCGAGTTCTCTCTAATAAATTATAATTATACAATAGTCTCCTTTAAGACAATTGATAAACGATTGACGCTATATCTTAAAAAAATCGAGCGATTTCGATTCATACCGGACTGGCCGAGCTCCCTTAAAATCTTCACAAAGCCTGTCTTAGAAACAAAGATATAGATATATAAAAATTGAAAAGTAAATAAATAGAAATATGAAATCGTACAAAACAGAAGAGATTAAAATATGGAAATGTCTGTTATATGTTTTTAAAAATTATTGTGCATTTAATTTGATTTTATGCCAATATTTTAAACTTTGTTTTTTAATGATACAAATTTGAAATATATATATGAATGCCATCGTACAATTCAAATGTTTAAATTTTCCTGAAGTAAGTTAAACTCGCATCTAAAATTTCTACATTATCTTTTATATTTGTAATAAAAGAAGAAATTAAAGAGTCGTCAGCCGGAATGGCAGGGGGTTTCAAAACGACTCTTGAAAGTTGAGTGCCGAGGGTCTAAGAAAGTGCCAGTCTGACAAAGACTCCCCTTTTCCACTTTGGAACGTGCATCGAAGTATTCATCGGTGCTCGAGGAAGGAGAACTCGCTACCATATTCAGTTCGTGTCGCGATTATCGAGCGTATCGTACAGCCGGGTCCGAATAAATAGCCACAGCACCACGTAATCACTCATCAAATCACTTGCAAAAGAGAAAAAGTGTGTGTGTGTGAGAGAGAGAGAGAGAGAGAGAGAGAAAAAGATCGTATGCAACACAGGATATGTGAACGGGATTTAAACAAAGGATATATCGTCGTCGTTAAAGGAGAAACACCAATGAAGAAGTAACAATGTATACATTATACGTAATATATAAATACGTATAAAAAGAATGAATAAATCTACATATACATATAAATAAGAGATAGATTAATAAAAAATCTCAAATCATTACATCATTATTATTCACCAACATTGAGAGCTTACCATATCTGATAAGTACAATCAATATCCTCGAGCAAGAAAGAACAAGAGAAAGAGAAAGTTTGAGTAACTTAATTCGAGATATTTATCACGGCTAAAAAAATAAGAGTACAATAAAAGCGACAGCATTTGAGTAAATAAGGTGATTTAATTCGATTAAAATAATAGAGATTGTGGTATATAAATTATGAATCTCACGAACGAAAATCGCAATACGCGTGTGTGTAAGGCTAGAAAACGTATTCATAAAAAATAACAATGTACGCTTCTCGGTCACGAGTGTAATTCTCGTCACACAATTTCTCGTTACGAGTAGCACTAGTCAAAAGTAGATTTATAAAAAAAATAAAAAAAATATGTGAAAAAAAATATTGCTTACAAAAAATTATAGTTAAAAATATCGAGAATGCGCGCAAAATCGTTGAAGCCTCTCGTGCAAGGCGTACACGTTATAAATCGCGTCAATTATAATTTTTGCATTACGATTAATCACGAGAGAGACAAAAACGCTAATGCGTAACGCGATTCGATTCCGAGCCTCCCTCTTTTCGTCCTCTAAAGTAAATCCGGTTTGCTTGCCTCCTGTTTCCGGCAAATTGAATTTCGTTGTACAATTTAAGAAGTTCATTTAGGCTAATTCTCGAACGATGTAGCAATTAAAACGCTCGCTTTTTTTTTCTATCCGCGAATAACGGGAATTCAACCCTCTAAGAGATATTTTTCCCCTACTGCGTATTCTCTCAACATTTTCAACATTCGCGCAATTTGGAATGATTAGAGTCGGCAGTGTTTTTTTCAAATTTACAAATGTTATTATGCAGAAATAATATTCTGCATATCTAGTTGAGTAAATAATATAATTGTGATAATTTATTATTAATTATCTATTATTGATTATAGCGTGGAAATATTATTTGCTCCATCAAACATACAGAATATTATTTCTTAATGACATTTACAAATTTGTAAAATATGACGCGCGATCTCGTGCCAAGTGACGGTTGAAATTTAACGATGTTTAATCGAGCTTTTGTGCAACGCTCCTTATCATCTCCGTTTTTCTTCTTGTACAAGTTTCCGATATCATCGTCAGTGAGATCCGCAATGCGAGTCAGTGCACCGACTCGCTTACGTCGATCGGTCCATTTTCTTGTGCGGAGATTATGATGTTAGTCTCGTTAGAATCCTCGCCAGTTTGATCAGACTTTTCCCGATTCTTCGATGTTGCTTGCCCTAAAAAGTCACATCGTATTTAATTCGTCAAGATCCCTCTCACGTAAAAAAGGTTTTGGTAAACAAACAAATTCTGGATAAACGATTCTTTTCGCATATTTCAAAAACTATCGCGGTGAATATTTGGCTCAAATTTATTTCCCTGCATTTGGAACATTTTTTTTTTCGAATGTTTTTCGCTATTTTTATGGCGAGAGATTTATAACGAAAGTCCAAATGCTTCGCAATCGGTTTTCCGTCAATGATGCTTTTACAGGAATCGCACTATAATTCTTTCGCATCGAAAATGCAGAAATTTACGGAGGAAGGATTGATTATAAAGTGCAAGTCCACCGCGTTTACATCAATATCGTAAATATGTATAAAGATGCTGGGGGAGCGTCACAGTCGAGACTTTAATCATCTCCTTTGAGGCGTTCGCGACAAAGGCTAGCGAGTCCAGATATTACGCTCACCTTGACCGAGATCTCGTGCTTTGCCGAGATAGGAGTACTCTCGCGCGTTCGCCAATCCGGCTATCACACAGGCACTGAGAGCGCTGCGACTGAGATTCATGGGAGATGCGTCGTACCATTCGTTATAATCCGCGTCGTAACATTCGACGTACGCGATTGTACTCGATCCTGTAGTAATAACATTGTTCGTTTGTAATATCATAAGCCGCTTATTTTAAATCGCACCGCCCCTCCTCCCCCCAATAATAACTGTCGCACGCGTATAATTTTCCTAATATCTATAATATATTTTGATCACGTACATTGTCATTAATTCTTAAATTTTTTCAGTATTTTTTTGATAAATAGATAAATTAAAATCTTTAATTTTGACGCTCGCTTTATTTTACATATATTAGAAAGATATTATTAAAAAAAGAGATATTTAGTTTTCATCGTTTATCGGTGCGTGAATAATAAATAAGAGATATACAAATAGTTTCTTTTGGGATACCGTTATAACCGCCGATGACGAAAATCATATCGTCAAGTATGACAGTGGCAAAATTGCTGCGTGGACTAAACATTTCCGAGATCTCGTGCCATTGGTCGGAATGATTTGGAGTATAACGCTCTCCTGAAAAATAAATATTTGTTTTTCTTGAATGTGATGCCACACTTTCCGATACATACAGGAAACCTGTCATTTCAAACGCTCGCGTGGAAAATATTTGACACGCGGTCGCGCATATTGGTGTCTGTAAGGACTACATTACACATACATGTACTGCAAGCATGCAATTCGGACGAATGCTATATCGTTCTGTAAATGACGTAGTTACAGTAGCACAAAACTGCATTACACAAACTACACGCAACTGGCTTACATTTCCATATGAAGCTAAATCCTGACAAATCTGTAAAAACTTGTCTTGCCTAATTAATAATTAACGTGATGTTATTAACACATATACACTCTCTTTAGCATTTATAAATTTTATACGTTAAATTTATACATAATAACTATGATATATTTACACGTATAAAATTTCTCCATTTATATAAATCAGAATTATTAATTAGTTATTTATATTAGCATAAAACATTATTCTATTTAATATAATATGTGTCGAAATATCCGCTCTCAAATTGCAATTGCAATTATTGCAATATTCAATCCCCAAATTATCAGTCGGAAAATTATTTATCTTTCTACTATCGTTACGGCTGATATCAGGAGAGCGATTGTACAAGTTCTCGCATAATTGAGAGATTGGTAAGAATCGGAACTAACCGGAACTCAATCTAGCGACACCGCTAAATCCGCCGAGAGCATAGAGACTGTCGCGAAAGGCGACGAGGGAGACCCCGGATCGCGGACTGATCATCGAATGGATGTTGGTCCACTGATTAGTCTCCACATCGAAGACCTCGGCCGAGTCGAGAACCTCCTGGCCGTTGAAGCCGCCGACGATGTAGATCTTGTCGTTTAGGGCGGCTGCGCTCGCGTCCGATCGTTGCCGATGCATCGATGGTATCATCTCCCACTGGTTCCTTTGCGGCTCGTATCGTTCGCCGGAACTCATCCTTGTGCGGCCATTGTATCCGCCGAGCGCATAAATCTTGCCGCCTTAAACAACGTGCAATGAGAAGATGACGTGAAACGATCTTAGTTTTTTCAAAAAATGAAATGGTTTATTTTGAGCGACAGCGCGAAAAGCAAAAGAGTATCTTTATTTCCGTATGAATCTTGTGGACATCTATTTATCACTGTTTTTTAAACATATTTTTATATTTTAAAGCTGTCTACGTGTAAAAGAATTCCGCTGTTGCTCTTTCCAACAATAATTTATTATAGTTGTAAATTTTTAAATTTAGGATTATAATTTTATATGAACTTTGTTAATAGCAGGATTGTGTGTATTTAAAAAAGCATTTTTATTCTCATTTTGCGAGATCGGAAAACTCACCGTGCGTGCAAACGCTGACGTAACATCTGGCATGGTACATGCAGGCTCGTTCTCGCCACTCTTTCGTCACCGGATCGAAGCATCGCACCGTGCTAAAGTGCTCGTTACCATCGAATCCACCGATCATGTAAATGAGATTGTTTAGGGTGCACAGTCCATGATAAGTCCTCGGTGTTACATCCGTGTTCACTGATACAAACCATCTGTCAGCTCTAGAGTTGACATTTAGATAAGTTAGACAAAACTTTCAAGGCGTCAATATTAATTAATATTAGAATTTTGCCAGGACATGCTCTTTTTAACTACTCTTTCTATAAAATTTTAGAAAAGAAAAAGTAAGACCAGTATACATACGCGACGGTATTTTTAGACTCTCTTAAATTTCGATTTCTATGGAAATTTCAGTTATGCGATATTACTTTGTCATAGAATTCGACACACCTTGTGTCGTAAGTCTCTACAAAACTGGTGGGCGAACCAGCGCTCCATCCACCGATCGCAAAGAGTATTTCATACGGGATTCGGGGTCTCGCAAGAGGATTTTTTAGATCGATCTCCCCCCCATTGTTCTGCTTTGCATCTTGCTCGGTTAAATAGGTATTTACAGGAAGCAGTATTTGTTGGCACGCCTTAAAAAATTTGAATACAGAGAAAGATTCAATATAATATTACGCAAAAACAAAAATTGCATCACAAGGGAGATACATATAATAAAGAAAAATTATCATACATAATATATAATATATAAATCATAATATATAATATCTGCACTATGCTTAGATTAATCATACTCGATTCGAAATGAAGCGATACAATGCGTTAAGGGTTAACAATGTGTTAAGGCTTAACAATGACAAAGGCACGTCCTTACCTCATCCTCCTCGACGAGCTTCCAGTTGAAGATGTTATTAATGAAATACTTATGACTCATGAGACCATAACGTATACATTTCAGCAACCTCGGTAAATAAATCCGTCTCTTCTCGACACTAGTCTCGACCCATGTCTTGACAGCGTCAAACACGATCTCCTCGTTTTTCACATTAAGCTCGTCGTCGCGCAATATTGCTTCTAGTTCGTCGTAATGGAGATCCTTGAATTCCGCGCTCTCCTGCAGTATCTGCTTGAAGTGGTGACGTATGTATTTACGGCCTTGCTTCTCGAGATCGCGACAGAAGTAGTGGCGTGCAAATTTGAAAATACCTGCGGCCATAAAATATCTTGGGTGGAGTTCCGAATAGGTGAACCCTCCGATTTTTTTGAAAAATACAAACATAACGAATTTGTTGATCTTGAAAGTCGAAAATCAACATCAAACTTTGATACAAACAAATAATTTAAACGCAGTGAAATACAATTTGTACTGTTATATATCTGTAAGAGTAAATTATATAAAATTTATATAATTAATAAAACTTAAATAAATAAAACTTAAATAAAATTTATATATTTTTATATCTATTTTTATGTGTATGAAAGGCTTACCTAAACAATTTTCTGGTCGTAACTCCTGTAACAAAAATTGACAGCAGAGCTGAACGATTCCGAGGACTTCGAACTGATCAGCGACCGGCAATAGTTGCTCAACATTGTCCGCGTTTATGTTGCAGGTGCCCGTATAGGCGTAATCGAGGATCAGACTGAAAATTTCACCGGGCACGGAATTGATGACGACTTCTGAGGTCTCGGTTTTTCCTCTCAGGCTGTTGGTGAAAAGGGCCTTGAAGTAGGGGCTCACCGCGGATAATATGGCGCGATGGACTGGGAATACTTGATCCCTCGGGCATCTTATGACACCATCGCACAGCTGCTGGTTAGCCCTGAAGCCGATAGACTCGTCACAATTCTGAGAACGTTGCAGGTGTTTTTATAATTAAAAATTTATTTAAAATTTAGGATGAGTAAATGAATAAAATATTTTATATTATTTTACTATTCAAACGCAAGAGATAAGATATTTGATTATGTGGATTGGATAATTTTAAAGTCATAATCAGAAATAAATTTCAACCGCATGTTTCATGTCGTGAGAAAGATACATAGCTAATTTATAAATAAATTTTTTAACTCTCTTATTAATTTTCTTTTTTAAATATATATATTTCTACAAAAAAAATACGAAGAATAAAAAGTTACGAAAAATACTAATCAAAGCTGACTAATTTTTTAGAAGCCATTTCGCGAGCTTGTACGACTTTATCTCGAAACCATGTCATTACGATGAGAGAAAAAGTTAATAATCCTCGCCACGTTTTATAGGAGAGGAGGGAGAACCTTGATTACAGCAGCAAAAAATACTAATCAAAGCTGACTAATTTTTCAGAAGCCATTTCGCAAGCTTGTACGACTTTATCTCGAAACCATGTCATTACGATGAGAGAAAAAGTTAATAATCCTCGCCACGTTTTATAGGAGAGGAGGGAGAACCTTGATTACAGCAGCGCATGATTATGACCGACCTGAGCTCGGACCAGACGACGGGAAACTCCACAAGAGCGTAATTGGACGGTAGACACATGCATTTTCTGATTCTCACCGACTGCTTTCGCCTGGACTGCTTGAAGAACCTGCTGATGCCGGAAGTGGAGGCGCGTGACACTCGAGTATGGGACGATCTTCTGAAGCTCATCCTGCTAATGTCCATATCCTTGTGCGGTGGTGGCGGGGTCCACGTGCACCCGCTGGGTCACCACGTGTGTCCCCGAGCTTCCCACCGCCTCTTCTGCTTCGCAGCTTCCGCTCAACAGCTTGCGTATTCGCTCTCTTGACAGACCCGATTGCGCCGAGACGCGCGACCATGACAAACGAAGGCCGAAAATTGACCGACTTTAATCCGATCGTATCTCTCTCGATCTCTCGCGAAAATCGTATTAAACGATACTCGATGCATTTCTTTCATTAGCGAATGACTGCCGAATCTATGCCTATAATATAATACAAGTATAATCATATAAAAAGTAATATTGTTTCTCTCTGAATATATGATTACACATTTCATATTGTTTTAAAAATTGTATAATATAATTATATTTATAAAATGTGTACACTTGCATACTTTTTAAGTATAAAATTTAACAGTATCTCGTCGGTGCTTTAATAATTTTTTTTTCGGGGATAAAACTTTTTTCATCCATTTATGACCTAACAGGAAATAAAAGATCATATAATCTAAAAATGAACTTTAATCCTTGAAGTATAATAAAGATTCAACTAAAAAGGGGAGTATAAGCTTGGTATTTAGTTCGTAAAAAGATTTAATAATAAATTATATTGGCATTGTTACAGGTAGAAATTTTCAAATAGAATTTCGATGCCATTCTACAAAGAACATTCTTTTGTGTGCGTTATCCGTTCGCCTCTGATAATGCGCTCGTTTATGAGATAAAGGTAAAAATGACGGAAAGAACGATGACGGTGCAAAAAAGCAGAGGCATCCGGTTTGCTGGAGTAAACCGGATGTGTCTAATATATCGATTACGGAAAGTAAAAATCTGTTCTCTTTTTGATTAAATGGGCGCAACATCTTGATCTTTCCGACGTACAAATCAGTAGCGATCTTTTCTATAAATTCCTTGTATTTTTATATTACACGCAAAAATTTTTTTTTTTTTAAATTTATTATAATATATTTAAACACATATTAAAAATAATTAAAAATTAAGAGAGTAACTAATTGTTTATTTATCTAAAAATGTATACTATATACTATATATTGCATTGTTTATTTATTAATATTATTAATTAATTTTAAGTGCAAATTAAATTTTTAATTCGCAAAAATATACATATTTTTAGAAGCTTTTATTTAGCTTCACACGCCGTAGAATATTTTTTCTATTTTCCGAAAAATAATTTTGTTCACATTTTTCTGAACCTTTCCTTTCTCAAAACCCCCTTAAATTAGATCGGTAATGCAAAGATCCGCGGGGAACTGGTAGTGGCAATTTTTCATCCCTCGTATTGCCATGAAACCCTTTATCAGTTCAAGGCGAACACGACTCGCTGATGAAACGATTTACACATCGAGGGGATTTTGTTTCAGAGCTTCAATAAATATAAATAAAATATACGCCAGCGGTCTAATTAACGTTTAGAGAACCGGGGAGCTTGAGAATTTTTCTCTCTCCTTTTTGTCGTAACTTTCTTTCGTTTATTCTTCACTTAAAACAATGTCAATCTCAATTATTTTGCGCTTTATCCCTTTCATCTCCGTTGTAAGCTTAAAAGTAATTCGACACGGCATTTGCATGTTATAAAAAATTAAACGTAGCGTAAAAGCATTTCTGACGCGATTTGTTGCCGCAAATAATATAGATAACAAATTTTATATTATTCTTTCTTTTCATTTTTGCCGTTTTCCCTTCTTTTTCTTCTTTTTTTTTTGCGTTCTTTCTTTCTTTGTGATTCTATTTTCCTTCTCTTCTTTCATTTTTTCTTATTTTTTTTCTTCTTTTCCATTTTTCTCCTACAGCTCTAGATCTCTTGACATGAAAACTTTAGTTCTCTCTCGTTACTAGCGTATGAGTTTAGAAATTCCATTCCACAGATCTCTATACGTATATGTACATACATATATACAAATGTTTACGTAAACGAATTTACTCTCTCTATACGTGAAAGATGTGTACACATCAATTCTGTAGATATGATAATACATTTATGTATATAGCACGAAGAAATTAGCGGAATATCTCGTATGGAGTATAATTACTTTGTAACTGTGAGGTATTTCGCGAATTTCGTTCACACGATAAAGTTTATACGTGGAAACTTTAATATATAGGATAGCTTAGGTTTCCCTTGTGCTTTTAATTGCTCTTGTCTTGACAGTTCTTTAACTAAACTCTAATATGACATTTGAATAAAAATTAGCATATTGTTAGTAAGAAGTTGATAGTGATATCCTCCTACATAAATGTTAAATGTCATGTATCTTGACATTTATACAATTACGTAAAAGTTTCTAATGTACGCGTATATCGCTCTTTACAGCTCTGAGATATACGTAATACAAATTACGTATACGTATGCAAATTCTTATCGGACATCCTTGCAGGGAATCACATATGCAACCATAATCTAGCATGCGCATATGCATGTTCACGACTGAGCATGACGCACCGTTATTGGATATTACGCTTTTACTCGTGGTAATCGCAAGAAGGTATAACGCATGCACTATGATAATCAGTTGTAAACCCGACATATAAACTGCGCATAAACGCGTGTTTTGTGTGAAAAATGTAACGTTCCGACTTAAAATCGATCCTTGTAAAATAAAATCCTTTCAAAGTTAAATTTTTAAACATGAATGAATCATTTTGCTCATAATCGAAAATATCGAATATATTGATATTTAAATGTAAGTCAGAGCGCGCTGGAAAGGAGAAGTTAAATATTAAAATAGCGTGCAGCAAAAAATACAGACAGACATTCCGTGAGATAACGACCGTGTGATTCGAGATCTCGCACAATAGACAGATGTAGCCGCATAGTAACAACCTTGACCTGGGTCGTATAATCGAAACTTCTCATCGTCGAACGTAGTGAACGCGTGAAAAACTCTCGTCGACGTATATGGCAAGCAGGCAACTATACCAATCGTTCGAAGCGCGGGGAAAACACATTTTCTAAGGAGTATCGACGTTCTCGAAAACCGCCGAAACTTCAAAATCGTGTGTTTACTCTCGCGAAAAGATGGAAATGAGAGCGGCGAAATCGCTCGCGATGCTAAGTTGATAAAAAAAAGAAATTGCCCATTTCGCACGTCGATGCGTAGAATTTTCGTTGCGGATTGTCTTTTTTTTTTTTTTTTTTTTTTTTTTTTTGTTTTAAAACTTTATATAGATTTTTGTGAAGCGGGTTCCACATAGAATATCTACTA